CATTAGCAAAACATGAATTCTGTCACAAGCTGGAAGACCCTCGCTCAGAAGCAACTCTGTGGATACGAGCAAGATGGGAACCTGGAAATCAGTAACATTAAGGGACTGATGAACGTAAAACAATTTTTTTCTCTTCTACATCTACCTGTTGAAACCTCTATTCATCTTTCAAATCCCAGCTTAAATCTCCCTTCTTCCAAGAAATCTTCCCAAACTTCCTAGTGAGGATTGATTTCTTATTCTCCTATAACTCCCATATTACTAAATTTGTTTTTCTGTAATCACCAGCTGAATGCTGGTCACAGATCTCTAGCTCCCATTAGATCATACATCTGTAGGATCTGGAACAGTGTCATCTCCTCTTAGAAGCCCCAAGAACCTAGGATGATATTATCTGTTCAGTGCTTGCTAACCTTGAATTAATGACAAATATACATAACAAACTACTTTTTTTTTAAAGAAAGGATGCCCTGATGAGGCTTTTAGAATGCACTGTACTATATTAATGTCCTAAATGTATAGGGAATTTAATATATATAAAGTATAATGAATATATTCATGCCTTCAAATGCTGATCAGCTGTTTCCTCCTCCAGGAAGGAAGATTTCACTGATTCTCTTGAAGGGAGGTAGGTGCCCCTCCTACACAGAAACCTGTTTACTGTCTCCTGCCCAAAACTTCTGCCAGTTCCCTGAGGGCAAAGTCTTTGTCTTTTATCCTTGTATTCCAAATGGCTGATACATAGTACATGTTAATAAATGTCTACTAAAAGAATAAGAAATAAAAGGAGATGGGGGGAGGGGAAAAAAGAGTTAAAAAAAAATCCCCAAATAATCCAATTAGAAAATGGGCAAAAGAAATGAAGAGACATTTCACCAAAGAGGATATACAGATGGCAAATAAACACATGACGAAATGTTCACATCATTAGCCATTAGGGAAATACAAATTAAAACCACAATGAGATATCATTCCGTAACTATCACAGTGATTAAAATTAGAAATAGCGGCAACACCAAATGCTGGCAAGGAAATGGAGAAACTGGATCACTCATGCATTTCTGCTGGGATAAAAGTGGTACAGCCACTCTGAAAAACTAGAGTTAGGCAGGTTTTCTTAAAACTACACATGCAAAGACCATGTGACCCAGCAATTGCACACTTGGGTATTTATCCCAGAAAACTTATGTTCACACAAAAACATGCACACAAATGTGCATGGCAGCTTTATTTGTACTAGCTAAAAACTAGTGGGTGAATGGTTAAAAAAACTGTGGTACATTCATACTATGGAGTACTCAGCAATAGGAAGGAACCAACTATGATACACTCAACAACTTGGATGGATGGATCTCCAGGGGATTATGCTGAGTAAAAAAAAGCCAACCCCAAAAGACAACAGCTCTATGATTCCATTTATTGAAATGATGCATTTTAGAAATGGTAGACATATTAGTGGTGGCCAGGGGTTAGGGGCTGGAGGGGTGTGTGTAGTTATAAAAGGAAAACACTAGGGACTCTTGTGGTGTTGAAACTGTTCAGTCTCTTGACTGTTATGGTAGATACAGGAACCTACCCAGTTGGTAAAATCATACAGATTTAACACACACACACACACACACACACACACACACGAATACAAGTAGAACTAGGAAGTCTGCACAGGATCAGTGGACTGTATCAATGTCCACACCCTGGTTGTGATATTGTTGTAGTTTTGCAAAATGTTACCATTGGGAGAAACTGGAAAAACTATACTAGCAAGCTGTGTTATTATTTTAACATTTATTTGCACATATTTGTGGGGTACAATGTGTTGTTTTAATACATGCACATACTGCACAATGATTCACTTAGTGTACATAGCTTAGTTTGTACCCATTAGTCCACCACTTTTCCTCCCCCCTCCCACCTCTAGTAACCATTATTCTACTCTCCACTTCTATGAGAACCACTTTTTTTTTTTTAGATTCCACTTATTAGTGATATAATGCGGTATTTATCTTTTTGTGCCTGACTTAGTTCTCTTAACATGATGGTTTCCAGTGCCATCCATGTGGCTGAAAATGATAGGATATCATTTTTCCCCTATTATTTCTTAGAACTGCATGTGAATCTACAATTACCTCCAAATAAAAATTAGAAAAACAGACAGGTAGAGAAAGATATGGAAGAAAGAGTGACATTACTAATCAA